TATATATATATATGTATATATATATATATATATATGTGTATATATATATATATATATATATGTGTATATATATATATATATATATATATATAGTATATATATAGTATATATACTATATGATAGATAGTATACTATATGCAGGTTTATTCGTTGTCAGACAAGCGATGTCAACACAGCTGCAAACAGATATATGGAGACAGTCCAGAATCGTAATCTGTAAACAGGTGAGAGGTCAAAAGGCAGGCGGCAGGCAGGGAGAACGAGAATACAAGGCTAGGTTGAAAACACAGGAAAACTAGACAGGAGTAACGCGTTGTAATGTCATCTAAGATAAACAAGACTCGGCAAACTGAATAGGGAATGTGTGGCTTAAGTAGGGTGTGCAATCAGTCTCTGACAATCCTCAGGTGGTGCAAGCAATCAGTCTAGATGAGGAAGCATGTGTGAGTGTGACCGGAGTGCATGTATGAATATGTAGTCCAACAATGGCGGAGTTGTAGTCCATGAGTTATTGTGAGTGAGGACCAGCGATCTAATGGATTGCTGGTAATCGTGTATATATATATATATATATATATATATATATATATATATATACGATATATATATATATATATATATATATATATATATATATGTGAGTAATATCAGTGTGATAAGGCTGTATATCAGCACTGGTAGGAGGCACGCGTTAACACGAGGCCATAGGCCGAGAGGTCATAGGCCATGTATATATACATATATATTCACTCATTGGTTCAAAATAGTTTTTACTTTCCATTTCGTTAACCCCTCGTAATTCTAGCTTTCATGTCTTGTCTAAGCAATGTCTGAAACCTTTTATTACTAGTGTTCCTCATAATAATTGGCCTCTTCATGATGAATCTCTTTTTGTACGTCTCATTTGTAAGTCACTTTGGATAAAAGCGTCTGATAAATGAATAAATGTAAATGAAAAATTCAAGTTTTCTTCTGAAAAGCTGTCTTTGATCTCTGACAAACAAGCTTGCTTTTACCACGGCCAAACAGATCATCTGCCTAGAGCACTTTCTTTGCCTGTGTGCTCACTGACAAACTGCGGTCTTGCTTGTTCTGTTTAGACATCAAAGGCTTTTCCTTGTATTCCTTCCATGCAGGTACAATTTGTTAAATCTCTCTCAGATTGTTTTAACTTATTAAAAGACCCCAAGATTAATAATTGAGATTATTGGGGATTTGTTTTGGCAACAGATGATCCTCTTATGAGCTGGATATGTGCGCAAATTTGCCATATTGAACCTCTTTTGAAATCTATACCACTCAAAGCCTGTTTACAAATGTATTTCAAAAATCATACCTGATTGTTTTTTTTATACATTTTTTATACATTTTATGACACGTTTCAGGTGAAGGGATATTTACAGTTTAAACCCAAAAATAACCATCCTGTCAGATGAAGTAGAGCTGGAGTCAGAGATTTAATTAAAAAGAACGTTTACTGAAGATAGTTTGCAGTTTCATCAGCAGAAGCCAGCTTTAACATTCGCAATGTGTTCATTGACTGCTCTGCTTACAGTCTCAAACATCATTAGATAGACTTAGAAAATGTCCATGTGCGTGTGTATATCTCAAGTATACAAACGTCATACCACCACTCCAGAGCTGACCCTAGACCTGTGAAATGATCCACAAAGGAAGAGAACACACACATTCAAAGTACAATCGGTTTCTTACACACGGCTGAGTGTACTCTCGGCCATCTTTATCAAAACTGGTTAAGAACCGGTATAATCTACATCCAAACTGGCAGCTTACATACAAAGGAATTAACTTTAAAAGATTTAACACTTAAAATGGTAAATATAACTTTAAACATAATTAACACATAGCAAATATCAATAGGAACAGTTGTTTCCAATTCTTCAAGAGTCCAGTTCCACTCAAGAGGGATCCATGACCTCTGACCTGATTTGGGAGCTCCTGAAAATAGGGACAAAGGCACTCCAAGTGAACATTACTAAATATATTCCAACCTTAGGTAATGTTTAACTTTAATAATCATACATCAATCAAATAACCACCCACCCAACCAACCACTCAATTAACCAATTAACTTGCCAACCAACCAACCGACCACTCAATTAACCAATTAACTTGCCAATCAGCCAACCAATCAACCACCCACCCAACCAACCAACCACCCACCCAAACAACCAACCACTCAATCAACCAATTAAAAAATCCAACCAACCAATCAACCACCCACCCAACCAACCAACCGCCCACCTTGTTACCAACCACCCACCTACCCACTTACCCTCCCAACCAAACAACCAACCACTCAATCAACCAATTAAAAAATCCAACCAACCAATCAATCACCCACCCACCCAGCAACTCGACCAACCAACCACCTAACCAATCAGCCACAAACCTACCCAACCAATCAACTTAATACCCACTCACCCAACCAACGACCCACCCACCCTTCCACCCAAAAAACAATCAACCGACCAACCAATCAACCACTCAACCGACAATCCAATCAAACACCCACCCACCAACTCACCCCTCTAACAACCTACCGACCCAAACACCCAAGTTGTTCAAATGTATCAACTTTCCATGGGAAGTACTTTATTTTAAATTATTGCAAGGCTGTCTAGAATACTTAATTCTGATTGGTCAGTCACAACATCCAATATAGGTTATTACCAGATAACAACCTCTAAAACTAATAACACTGACTCATCTTAGTTCTTTGACCATCAGTCAGTACATTCAAGTTCATTTTTATAAGCTTGTCTGTCACACTTTGACTGTTTGGCATCATCTTGTGACTAAATATCAATAGGTTGCTGCATGCCTCATTCAGCCGTTTTCGCTTCTATCAGCTTTCCCTTTAATTAAAAAATAATAATAAACTATTACAACTCCTAACAATGTTTTGTGGCTATTTTCACATGTTGTGGCAATTGGGTACTGCAGAATAAAGTATAAATTAATTGCACAATAAGCCTGCCAGGCTTTATTCTGTAGTAACAATCTCCTGGATGAACTTTATCCAATATTTTACAAATTTTCTTTAAGTAAATTACTAATAACTTGTTAATGATAGTAAGGAAACTTACTGTAGTAATTATGTTTAGGTATGGTGTAGCATTATGGGCTCTAGAATATGAACATTACATCATATGCAACAGTCAGTATGCTAGTGATATGCATGCACAGTTCCCCAAATCTGAAATGTTGTAGTGTTACATCTGGGGTGTCAAACTCAATTCCTGGAGGGCCGAAGCCCTGCACAGTTTAGTTCCAACCCTGCTCCAACACACTTACCTGTAGGTTTCAAACAAGCCTGAAGGACTCAATTAGTTTGATCAGGTGTGTTTAATTAGGGTTGGAACTAAACTGTGCAGAGCTGCGGCCCTTTTGGAACTGAGTTTGACACCTGTGTGTTACATAGTAGAAAAGGCCTACGCACAGGTAAAGCGGAAGCAATGTATTCTGCATAGTTTATACTGAACAATGAAGAAACTAGTGACTTAAATACAGAAGAGGATGTATTTAGGAGATGATAAAAGGAAACAGTGTCAAACTAAACAAGAAACAGAAAATAATTATTCACGTCTCATTACTAATGGAACCTTATTATGAATTACCAAAGGATTATTTTATTCTGCTGATTTAAGTTGTTTCTACTCAAAATCTTTTGCAAATCACCATGCTGAAGGTATTCACAAATACACTGGCTAAAAACGCACTGAATAATGGAATGGAAAGATACGATCTTGATTGCTCATGTCGCAGGATTTTAATTCAATGCATTCAGATGGCTTTGTTGCTGTAAATCAATGTCAATGTCAACACCTTTTACTTGTGACCAGTGTTATTATTGTTCTGTCTAGTCTATATTCATATGTTCACTGTGATTTCAATGTCTTACTTGATTGCGGCCACCTTAGAAAATCTGTATTCTGAGATTATTTATTTAGCTTGACAATGAAAGCCGTGGTTCTTTCCCAACATCATTGTAATTATGCGGTCATATTTGAAGATTGTTTGACTGCTGCTGAAAACTTTCGAGTCTATGTTGGTTGAGAGGAAGATTGTTTGATTCAATTCAATCCAAGTTTAATTGTATAGCGCTTTTCACAACAAGTACCATTCCAAAGCAGCTTTACACAAGATCCATGTTATTACATTACAGAACTGGGCTACATCTATAGTATCTGGATGGATTTGAAAATCGTTTTTAGTCTAGCAACACTCCATGTCCACATGATCGTTTTTCAGTTCTTTCCTGACGGAAAACCCTTTAGTTCAGGCAATGTGCATTACAAGTGTGTACCCACACTGGTCTCATGGTTCGGCTTGGTAACGATTATCATGCCATCGATCCGGTGCAAATCGATATCTATTTTACATTTTACTTCACATCGGAACAATTCTTCTATTAAAATTTTATTTAATTATAAATATATATTTAGATATTATTTTTTTATACAATTTTGTCCTATAAAACAAACAGTCAGATATATGAACTACCTTTAAAAACTCAAGTACATGCACAGAACAACATGAGCAAATAAACAAACGTAATTATCATAGGGAAGTTCTTACACCCCTATGATTGGTCACGCGCTCAACAGAAAGGGCTGCGATTGGCTCTGGCACTGTTCACAGATGATAAACACTGATAAACAGCACTGACCATCACAGCTGCTCCATGATAGACGCCGAGGAGAAAACTCGCTCTGCAGACACACGCTTGTGTCTGTATCTAGAACTATCTCTGTAACAGCTGAGAGGAGAGGAAAAGTTACCACCCGACAGCAGGTCAAATGTCCACAGTGAGAGAGAGACATAAATGACGTCAGTACATAATAACCGGTTATGATTTATTACTGGACCGATACCAAATTGTCCGCGTCTGCATTACGGTGCACAGAAGAAACTATTAATTTTGACACTCCTACTGTGCATGTACACAGATGTAAGACGATTTTATCTGCGTCATATCTGCCTGCTGTTTATTACATTCTGTCTCTTTGAAACGTCACAGCAAAATGTTCTTTTAAGAGAGACAATGAGCATGTGCAAACTGACATTAATCTTTAACAAAGTTGTCAAAATAAAAGAGAGGGGACTGGCTGCAGACTCGGTGCAGTGCAATCTGAGCTGCAGCCAATGCTTTTGAATGCGCGCACCTAACCCCGCCCCTAACCCTACCCGTCACAGTGACGTCACTCATTCCATTGAGTGCATTGAGTCCGACATTGCATCGCTGAGTGATGCAGTCTCAGCTTGCATAATAAAGGCTGCATCCAGATACTATTGAAATAAAAACCCAGCATTCAAAACCTCTTTACACTGTCGTCCATCATGTTAGCTGAATTGGTCACATGACTAAAATGCGTCATCATTTTCGAAAGCCACACTGCATCAAAACGTTTTCAAAAAGATACGTTTATCTTCCTAAAAATGTTGCCTCAGTGTGGACTGAAGACCAAAATGGATAGTAAACTATGCGTTTTTAAATGAAAAAGTACTAGCGTGGACATGGCTTGATTTTAAAAGTTGTTTGTAGATGTGTAGATGAATAGATATAGATTCACATACACACAATCTGACACACACGTATAACTTTTAAAAAATGTTTATATGTATCACTCATTTTTCTTTGCCGAAAAAAGCTGTAAAAATGATAATTGGACCTCAGTACGACTTCAAAAGAGATCTGCAGTCAATATTTTATAACAAAAGCAATACTTCAATGGTATAATACAAGGAAAAGCTGATTGGTTATAATGGAGGATAATGGTGGCTCGTAATGTACGATTGTTATAGGATACAGTACTATTAGTGATACTGTAGTGGTTCAGTTGCTTATACCATACTATATACAGTCAAGCCCAAAATGATTCATATGTAAAATTTTGACTTAAAGCTACTTTTATTCAACCAGAAATTTGTATTTATTTTTGGATCGGAAATGACACAGGCTTCTCCCAAACAATAATAAGACGATGTACATCATAATGGCTGGCAGTTCATTCCACTGTGGCAAACCCTGGAATAATAAAGGGACTAGGCCGAAAAGAAAATGAATGAATGAATGAATGAATACATCACGAAGGCATCATTGTGGAAAATAAAGCTTTTATTTACATTTGAACCAAAACTTTAGATGTAAGAACGTCAGAATTTGCCAGGGTTATGAATCATTTCGGGCTTGACTGTAAACGCTATATATAAGTGATGCAAAATATATCAGTGGCCATATCGATATTTATTAATGCTTTTTTTATTGTTACTGTTATCGATTCGATAACAATAAATCTGATAAGCCGATATTATTTCCGCTAGTTAAACCACTTCTCATGCTTGCTGCCTGCCACCTTTTTGTTTCTTACTGATATTTATTTTATTATACTGATATTATTTATTTTAGTTTACACACAGTATATTTTATTTATATATTTTTTTAAAGTTGGCCAAAAAAAATAAAAAATGTTTTTTTTTCCATCATGCAAAAACAAATAATACTTATATTTATCTGCTAATATAACGGCGTCCAAATCAAGAGTTATCGTTTATACAGTCTGAAACACTGGCAAATTCTGATTTATTCATTTGTTTTCCTTTCATTTAGTCTCTAATTCAGAGGTTGCCAAATATTCTTATGCTTGCTGCCTGCCACTTTTTGTTTCTTACTGATGTGTATTTTATTATACTGATATTATTTATTTTAGTTAACACACAGTATATTTTATTTATATTTTTTAAAAAAAAGTTGGCCAAAAAAAAAAAAGAATAATTGATTAATAAAGTTTAAATATCAGTTCAAGTTTTTCTAAAGTAAAGAGGTCCTAAAAATAAAATCAGATGCTTACTGTATGCGTTCAAATTTAGATTTTTTTTTTCGATCATGCAAAAACAATTAATACTTATATTTATCTGCTAATATAACGGCGTCCAAATCAAGAGTTATCATTTATACAGTCTGAAACACTGGCAAATTCTGATTTATTCATTTGTTTTCCTTTCATTTACTCTCTAATTCAGAGGTCCCCAAATATTCCAGCATTTGCTTTTCAAAGCGGATGCCCTTTCAGTTGCAACCCAGTACAGGGAAGCACCCATACACTCTCACATTCACACACATACACTCATACACGAGTTTAGTTTATCCAATTCACCAATAGCGCATGTCTTTGGACTGTGGGGGGAAACCGAAGCACCCAGAGGAAACCCACACCAACATGGGGAGAACATGTTAACTCTACACAGAAATGCCAACCGGTCCAGCTGGGATTTAAATCAGCAACCTTCTTGCCAGTTGGTTACAGTGCTAACCACTGCGCCTCAATTCTTGTACATCATCTTATTATCTTTTTGGGAGAATCTTGTATCATTTCCAGTCTATCTGGTTGAAAAAAAGTAACTTTAATTCAGAATTTATCAGGGGTACGAATAATTTCGGGATTAACTGTATATATCGCACATATCAGTAGCCCTCTGCTTGTTTTGCTTCTGCACCATGCTTTCAGAAAACCTGTTAAAACTGATCTGCGACCCATTTTTGGGTACTGACCCACATATTTTTAAACCACTGATGATCAGTCAACAGCACTCTGGGAACTGGACTTCTGGTTATTTTGTTTGTTGCATTTCTGTTTCGTCAGTGCTAAGATGTTATAGACTGAAGGACGGCTTTAGATTTAGAGCAGTGGTTTTCTTTGAGAGGCATTTATAATACCAAATGGCTTCACCTTGAAGCAAAGAAATCCAGTATAGCACCTTTCTTGAAAAGTGACTGCTTTGACAGTGATGATTTTGTATGCTTTCAGTGGTTGGTGGGAAATGTAGTTCAGAGAGACGATGGTCTGTATGCCAGAATGAAACAGAGGGATATTGACGCGCATGACTCCATGTGGGAACCAATCTTTGTGGACGATGCAGCATTAGGACTAGGCGATTCAAAAAATAAGGTACTGGAAATGTTCATTAAGAGCGTTTATTTATTTGAGACCCAGCTTTACTTTACGATTCCTTGTTTCCTTTTAAAAGGAATTGTAGACCCAACTAGCAAATTCTGTCATCATATACACCAGGGGTGCTCAAACTTGGTCCTGGAGGGCCGGTGTCCAGCAAAGTTTAATTTCAACCCCAATCAGACACACCCAATATAGCTAATATTAGTACGCTTTCTAAAAACATCCGTCCAGGTGTGTTGAGGCAAGTTGGAGCTATAACCTGCAGGACCAAGTTTGGACCCCACTGATTTGCTAACTCTTGTGTTGTCCAAACATACAAGAAGATCATATTTAGATAAGATTTAAGCAACTCAGGCTCATTGGAAATATGTCTTAGCCTATAATTTGGTTTTACATTTCAAATACATGTGCTTTTTGTAAATGTCCAAGAGATGGTGGTGGTTTTTTGTACAGATCACCTTGCGAACTACTAAGCTAAACCCAACCAATAGTGTTTTCAAAAGTGAATGCACTGCTACCACACATAGCTTTACCTTGATTTTATATTGCTTTTATCTCTTTTGTGGAGGCGTGCTTCACTGAACTTGTATCCAAGCAACCTGAATCACAAGTATAACTTTGTACAAAGTGAGCAAAAAAAAATGTTTTTAATATGTCCTGTAATTATCATTAGTGTGAAAAGGAACAAATTTATCAGCGTCACGCTGTCCTCAGGAGTTGTTTCCTTAGAAACTGCAGTCAAATGTATGTTAAAGTACGTTTTTGTGGTATTGAAGAAATAAAAGGTAAAGCATATATTTACAATAAGCCTGTGCTTTTACAACCACTAGACCCTAATTTATCCACAGCGGAATGAACCACCAATTACTCTGGCATTTGTTTTATGCGGCAGATGCGCTTCCAGCTGCAGTATTCGAAATATTTCCAATCTTACCTGTCGTGTTAAATTAAATACAATAAATATATCAGGTTTGGAATGACACAAGGGTGAGTATTTCATGACAGAATGTTGATTCATTTTTATTTAATTTGTTTTGGTGAATAATTCCTTTAAGGAATACTATTCTTTTACTCCATTGCCATTATCACCTCTTTTCCCCTCCAACCACTCTCAAAAACAAATGTTTACTAAGGTCACAAGACGTATACATTGAATATATGATCAATTAAATTTTAAGCGAATGTATAATTCAGGAAAAGGGCATTTTTTTAGTAAATGAGGTCAGAGCAATTGAAGATTTATGAATTGTATTGTATTTGCTGCTAATACAGTTATATAAACAGTTTAGAGTAACTAACAGGGAACTCCTCTGTCACGAAAAACAGCTGGAATTCTATAGAAATATATATTATAAATCTTCATAGGTACCACCATACTTTGCATTACATCTACATGTGTACCGACCTCTTTCCATATGCTTGTCCTTTATTGGGCTTTGTCTGTCTTATTGGTTTGTCTCAGTCTTTGTTTAATACTGTGTTGATTTGCCTAACTCTTTCCACAAAAACCAGAAGGTAAGTCAGCATTTGTTCTCTTGTTTTTAATTTAACCTATTTTGTAATTGTAATCAATTTGTTGGGTATAAATCGTGAAAGAATATTTGTGGGCAATATTATTAGCCTTTCTGTGACATTTGTATTCTAATTCAAATATTTACTTTCATGTTAAACAGAGCGAGGACATTTTTTTTCTAACAAAATTCTTAAAATATTGTTGTTTTTTCTTTTTTCTTTTTCTTTTTTTAACATTTAAAAAAAAATGTTTTGTTTTTAAACAATTGTTAAGGTCAATGTCATTAGCCCCTTAAAGAGATGAAATTGTCCTGTTAATTTATTCATCTACAGGTCATCCAAGATGTAGGAATTTTTTTTCTCTTCACATTGAAGAAGATTTTGAGCTAAATCCATGTTTTTTTGGCGATTTTTTTATTTATTTTTTATTTATTTATTTATTTTTTTTGGGGTGATGGATTCTTTTAGAACAGGGGTCTCAAACTCAAATTGGCAGGGGACCATAGCAGTGACTGACTATTCATAGTAGGGTCACTTTAATATTCAAGCACAGCAAAAAAGTAGAAACCTGGGGTCCGTTCTTCGTATGTGGATTAGTCAGTTAGCTGGATTTGGTTATTGATGATTTGACACGATCCAGGATCGCTCCGTTCTTCAAAATTTACCCGAGAGTTGTTGTCATAGCAACAGTTCTGGTAGCTCAAACCTGCTAGGGAGCAGGTTCATTTCATATAAACACGGTCAGATCGGGTCAGTTCAAGCAAAAATAATACTTAAAGTATTTACAGAATGCTGTTACTTTCTTACAGTAGTAGTTATATACACTTGAGAAAATAGTAAATATATATTTTAACTATATATATATATATAAAGTTATTAATAAAACTTATGCAATCTGCACTCCAAAATAAAAGTACAAAGACTGCCACTTGGTGGTTTGAAGAGAACTTTTAATGATATGAACTTTTTAGATCGCTTTAGTACAATTTGTGTATAATAGACATGCACACTATGCGACTTAAAAAAAAAAGCAATAATACATATGCAGTCATGAACATGTTTTGACAGCTAATTTGACGGTGATTTGATGCTTCACAAAAGTTGCAAACACCTTTACCAATATCAAAATGCATTTGTAAGCGTCTAGTTAGCCTTTACACTGATTAACCAGATACTATACTACTACTATGGCTACTATAGTAAAAAAAATCTGCTCTAACTGTAAAACTAAATAAATTGCTAAATACTCTTGACACATGAAAGTGTAAAGCCACACAGCCCACAACAAATGTGGAAAGTTATTGAGTGTCATATTTAACAAACCATTTCCTATGAATTTTATATAATTTTGCTCACATGAATAATCGAATATTAATCAGATGATGTCATTACGCTGCTGTGCCGTCAGCCAATCATTGCATAGCTGATCATGATTTCAAGGATCGATAGATCTGTCCTTCACAACACAGGCAGCGATCTCAGATCAGTTCATCCAGACATTTTAATCTGATTCGTGAACTTGTTTGAGGAACCAAATTAGCCAGAGATCAGTTATCAAGATTAACAGATCCAGGATCTGCCAAATCATCTTAGATCATTTAAGCGAGGTACGAAGAATGGAACCCTGATGTAATTGATGCACTCAGACATTCTTCCCCAGAGTATATGTAGTCAAAATAATTGGTCTGTGAAAGCAATTGAACATTAGGCTATTCTTAGATCAGACTTTTATGAAGTTTAAAAAAAAATTAAATCTGTTGTTTACTGTATAAAAATATAACATTTTTAACTTATCGGTTATCGGCCTCCAAATCTAAAGAGTTATCGGTTATCAATATCAGCCAAAAATCCATATCAGTGCATCCATAATATTGACCTTAATATGGTTTTTGAAATGCTTTTATTCTTGCTGAAATAAAACAAATAAGACTTTCTTTAGAAGAACAAACATTATAGGAAATACTGTGTAAAATCCCTTGCTCTGTTAAACATCATTTGGGAAATATTTGAAAAGAAAGAAAAATCACAGCAGGGCTAATTATTTTGATGTCAAACTGTTGATAACCCATTGGTCAATCTGTTTGCCTTAGATGGACCCCCATGAAAACATCCTTCTCACTCCTCTGGAGATCAAAAATGAAATGGGCACATCAGAGTTAACCCTGGGTTTGGGTGACCCCCGTGCGACCATGCTTGCCTATGACAGCACCACACTGCAGTACCGGAAAGCCGGCCTGGCCAGGCACAACTTTGGACGCAATGCGCTGGAACGCCATGTTGCTCAGAAGAAGAGTCGACTACGGCGGCGCGCTTCCCAGCTTAAAATCACCATCCCTGACTTAACTGACGTGAATTCGATCGACAAATGGTCGAGAATGATCTTCCCCACAGTATTTTCATTCTTCAATGTTGTCTATTGGCTTTATTATGTCAACTAAGTGGATAGTGGGGCACCTCCCAGAAGCGCCACTTATTTTTACGTCCGTATATATTCTTCCGCTTTCCTGCCATCTGATTTTGCAATACAGGCAGGACTTAGGTTGACAGATTCAAATCAGGACTTATTCTCTTTGGCCTCGAGTTCACCTTAATTGCTGGCTGACACAGATATTTTGAAGAGGTTGAGAACAAACGGTGCCTGCTCCAAAAAAAAAAAAAAAAAATCACTAGGTTTTCATGTGTGTGAGTGACTTCTTCAATATTTATTTATTTATTTATTTATTTATTTATTTATTTATTTATTTATTTATTTATTTATTTATTTGTTTATTTATTTGTTTGTTTGTTTGTTTATTTATTTATTTATTTAATTGTCTATTGATTTTGTTTTCTAATATTTCTCTAAGAACAAGAATCTGTCCACTTGAATATGGTTTGTTTTTATCATTGCTAAAATTAAAGTCTTAAGATGAAAAAAAACTGGACATCCACAGCACTTCACTTTCAGTTCTTTCGAATTTCAAAAGATTCACCCCAAAAACTAAAGTGCAGTCGTGTTTAAAATATAATATTTTGAAGAACGTTGCAAAAGCGGTAGCCATTGTCCAGCAGGTGCACAACGTCATAAGATGTTAATATTAGGTCAGATTTAGGCGTGATGTCAGGTGACTAAAAGTCAATGTCTAGCTAGCGTCTAATGACAGTATTTTAATGTCTAACAATGGCGTGAAATAATGTTGATATTTGGTTGATATTAGGTTGTGTTGGAAAGTGACCAAAATCTAACATCAAGCCAACAATTTAAACCAACGTCATATTGACGTCAAATACTAACAACTATTCGTCAGTTATGGCAACCAAAATCTAACATCTGATAGACGTCATAGTGGTAATGTCCACACAACGTCAAGCTGTAACATCATTAGCTGTTGATATTTGGTTGATTTTAGGTTGGACGTTGGATATTGACGTCAGCCTGATTTTAGGTTCTGACGTCAATCTGATTTTCATTTCCAAACAAATAAATCCCTAAGACATTGGGTTACAACAGGGGTGGGCAATCTCGGTCCTGGAGGGCCAATGGCCTGCACAGTTTAGCTGCAACACTAATCAAACACACCTGAACATGCTAATCAGTGTCTTTAAGATCAGTAGAAATCTATAAGCAGGTGTGTGTGATTAGAGTTGGAGCTAAAGTGTGCAGGACACCGGCCTTCCAGGACCGAGTTTACCCACCCCTGGGTTACAACATCAGTCTGATGTCGTTAACGTCCTCTGCCTGCTGGGTGACTTCCATAATACTTTTTTCACGCTTCTATAAATGTCAATTGCTACCTTTTGTCAAAACTCGACATACATTTTTTTGTTGCATGAACTATCCCCTTATGTAACCATCACTCAGTATTTTTCCTTTATTTTAATGGTCTTGCCACGATTACCAGCGATCTGAACACCAATCGCTAACAGACTACAGATCATTTCATGGACTACAACTCCATACATGCACTCCACTGACACACACACATGTTCCTGATCCTGACCTATTGCACACACAAACACCCAGAGGATTGACGAGAACTGATTACACACACTATTTAAGCTGCACGCACAGACAACTCAAGACTTAGCCTTCTATAACGTTTGTGGATTGACGATGAACACCGTAATAGCGGATCCAAATGCATTTAAACTCACCCCTAATCCCAACCGTCATTGGGGGATGAGCAAATCGTACCATATTGCACGAATTAGATCGTACGAATTCATATGAATTAGCCACTAAATCAAAAAGTTACGAATTGCCGTGAGATTGCATTGGTAAACCAGGTTACAGATTGTTACTTTAGCATTTTTACAGTTTACCTTTGAAATCATTGACATTTTTACAGTGTACTATGGAAGTCAATGCCCCCAGTATTTTACAGTATATCTTCCTTTGTGTTCAACACAAGAACAAAACTCAAAGTGGTTTGGAACAAGTGGAGGATAAGTAAACAATTCCAGAATTTTAATTCACTAAACTATCTCTTTCATTTCAGCATGCTGTGTTACTCCCACCAACACAAACTCAACTTTCGACTCAAATTTTAATCAGAATTAAATCAGATTTAATCTGATATTCGGTTTGTCTATCCATTAGCATTCCCATCGGTCTCAGTGGCAGTTTCTCTGAATGTGACCTGAAAGCTGCCATCTTGGCTCATGAGCACTCGGTTTACGTGAGTTGTAAATGTCATGTGAAGCCCATTTTCCCATTTGTATGATGGCTTGAAAAAAAAAAAAAAAAACATGCCACTGGCAAAACATGATAAATATTTGATCTATTTTATATTTAATCAGACTATGGAAGTACATACTTGCTTTTGAATAGCTGCCATTGGAGACACAAAATTTTGCCTGCAAAAAAATTGTGTTGCATTCTGTCGGTTTATCTTCAAACGAAGAAAACCATTGTTTTATTGAAAGGAAATTATTTATTTGGAACATTTTGACATTAAAATATGGATTCCAGTTCTTTTTTAAGACATTTTGAAGACCTAATTTAAATCGTTCTCAATTGCCGGATAACATCATATATAAAACACAGGGTATAACCTGCAGATACAAGTAGACTTCTGATAATTGATTTAAAAATAACAAATATTGAAGATATTTCTGAATGATCAGTTTCTTATAATGTTTTCATTTTAGTGTTTTCATTAACATTTTCAGTGAAAGCATCATAGGTAGTACTTTGTCATAGTTTAATACCTTCTCATGCTTAGTTATAGCTAGGGCCGGATGAAATCTGCGAGCATTTTTTGCAATTTCTGCACAGAATTTTGTTAAAAATCTGGGGATTTATGTGAAATGATTTTAGGAGTTTCATAACTAAAATCTTATTATATGAAATAAAAAGTAATAATATTTTAACTTGTATTTAATGTTTACAATGCAAATCCAACTAGATCGACTTTAGTTGGTAAACAAAGCAAGTCTCTCATATAACATATCTACTAAAAGACAGAAAATATTACTTTACAAACTTTTTTGTAAATAAAACATAAATATTTTCATATTAGTCAATAATATTACTGAAATTAATTTGAAAAAGGAATAAATATGAATGTACACACATTAACACAAGTAAAAAAATTCTGCGAAATTCTGCATGCGCAGATTCTGTGTGGGCCTAGTCATAGCTTAATAAAATATAACATTGTTACTGTATTTTTATCAGATTTTTATTTTATTATTATTTTATTTATTTATTTATTTATTTTATTTTTATTTTTATTTTTTTATTTTTTGGTTTTTGAAGTTGGTTTAGGTGCTGAAAATTTAAAAAATGTAAAGCAAAAATGTAAAACTTAAGTTTTACTTTCACAAATAAACAAATGTGAGAGACATTTTAACTACAATTATTTTGATAATGGAACATTATAGCAACCGATTGAATATTTATTTATTTGTTTGATTAATTATATTTATATATATATATATATATATATATATATATATATATATATATATATATATATATATATATATATATATATATATATATATATAGGTGTGTGCGGCGCTCTCTCTCGCGCACACACACAGAGTGTCACAGTGTCCCACCCGTGGCGATATATAGCCATACGTGTGTGTGTGTGCGTGTGTGCGCGTGTGTGTGTGCGTGTGTGTGCGTGTGAGAGAGAGAGAGAGACACAGAGACACACACACAGACTGTCTGTGTGTGGGTCTCTTTCTCTCACACACTCTCACGCGTGCGCGTGTGTGTGTGAGAGCCGGCGAAAACAGAGCTAAAGAGACAGAGCGCGTGAGAGCGAGTGTGTGTCTCTCTCTCTCGCGCGCTCTCTAGAGAGAGGCGCACGCGCGCG